GAGAACAGTGGAAGAAAAAAAGCACAAAATACGTTTTGTGTGTAAACTATAAAAAGTGAGAACAGTGGAAGAACGGCTGTGACAACGTCACGGCAACGTCATAATAAACACATGTATCTGTGCACAGGTGAACGCGTTTTGTGGTCAGGTGTAGAGGCGCTCACCATGTTAGCAGCAGCAGCAGCAGCAGCAGGGTCGGTGGGTCGGTGGGTGGGAGATGTGCCCTACATTCACTTCCTGCAGGTGTTCTGACGGTTCGTGTCCCACAATATAACCGGCTGCTCCTCCGAGCCTCCGCAGCTCAGTCAACGTTTCTGCTCCCGTGCGCAGTCACACCTTCCCCGGCGAAGGCCGCGCCCTGCTGCGCTCCAGTCGCTGATTGGCCACGAGAGAGACACCGACACACATATACACACACACACACACGTCTGGTTTTCATGAGTTGAGGGGACTTCGCGCAGATGTAATCGATACTCGTACCGTAACCGCGTACCGTAACAGGTGAATGTTATTATTTAAAAGTAACAATATTACTACTGCAATACCTACTGCTATCAGCCCTGGACCAATCAGAGCTCGACTTTATTCTCTGGTCGCTTCTGTCACAAAAATCCATCACGCAAGCTCCAACTGGTTCAAACCTGTGGCTCCTCAACCATTGGTCAGATCTCCTTTCTCTGACCACACCACAGTGGTCCTGCAGTATCGACACTGGTTCCCAGTAACGTTTCCCATCACCTGCAACATCCTGGTCCTCACTACAAGGACCATAAACCATCTAGACCTCCATCAGTCTGAGACCAGGTGGCCCTCACAGCTGTCATTTGGCTCCTATTGGATGGTCCAACTGTCAGTCATATGCAGTGGCACATTGTCTTATATTTTTGCATTGAATTTTATGCATATATATGTATATATATGCTATTTTGTTATGATATGATATATGATTTTTGTTCTTCAGTTTGGAGGTCAATCCATTTACCAGTGTATCGACTGTATCTGTTGGTTAATGTTCCCAATGCTTTTGAATAGGAAAAACCATGTGACTAAATGTCAGAATAAACTGAAGTTAATGTGAAGCTCTGTCTAACAAGACATAAGAAACACTGTTGGACTGAAACTTCCAGATCCAAGATCCTTCCCTCTGTGGGTTCTTCTGCCCTCACCTCCTGCCCCCACCCTGTCCTCCTCCCCTGGGCGGTTTGTCTCCTTCCTTTCTGATGTCAAATGAACAAAAGTAGCTGCAGAAGCAGTGGCAGCAGCAGCAGCAGCAGCAGCAGCGGCAGCAGCAGCAGCTCCACGTGGTCTGTGAGCAGAGTTGAAGCAGAGCTCAGTGACAGCCTCCCACAGCTGCAGGCAACAACATGTCTCTGTACCGCAACTTCGCCTGGTTCCTGAAGGGAATGACTGAGTTCACCAGGTAAGGATGATGATGATGATGATGATAATAATGATGATGTTGCTCAGGCTGCTGCTGCTGCCGCTGCTGCTGCTGCTGCTGCCGTTTCTTGTTTTCTGTTCTACTTCTTTCTATACGTTTACATTTACACGTTTAACAGATGCTTTTATCCAAAGTGACTCACTGCTGACTGCGACACTGTGGAACCATAGTTCTATATTGTGAGTGTGAATGAAGTACTTGGTTGTAACTTTATTGTAGTATAAATCAGTAAAAAAAATAACATTAACAAGTTTTTTGTTTTTTAATTACTTTAAAAATAACATCACTTCTAAATTTAAATGTATGTGTGGACCTGTTCTAAAAATGACAGACGTGGTCAAACGTGTTCAGTCCAACATGGAGGCCGTGTGGTTCCATAAGGAACAATAGTAGAACATGTTGAGGAGGTTGGATGTAGGCATTTTTTTAGCTTAGAATTCATCGTTCCTCATGTAAATTGACAAAATAAATATCAAAAAAAGATCAAATAATTTTGGATCACAACGTTCTAGAACTAAAATGTAGTTACTTTGTGAGTCCTACGTCAAATATGAGTCAGAACCAGTCCAGTCAAATAGAATGGAATAGAAACCCATTCATATTCTACCACTTTGGGGTCTACTTATTCCACCTCCTCACAGAGGAGCTGGTCAGTCAGATGAAATTTTAAATATTTCTTTGGTTCGTAATCAATTGGTAATGAAAGTGTTAAACTTGGTCTAATATTATCTTAATAATTCAAATGACATTTTAATATGTAAAACTCAAAGTTTTAATAATCCTCTATAATAATCTGTATCACTGTCGGTGACTTGGTTTGATTTTAACAGTTAATGCAGAGCTGATGTCGTCACACCATATCATTTAACACAGAGATGGTTAAAGTGGAGCTGTAACCAGCCATGTGTTTGGGTACAGGTCAAAATATTACAACAAATGTATATAACGTGTGTCTAACTTTGTGTTGCACAAAGACAACACGGCTGCTTCTGGTTCTGGTTCTGGTTCTGGTTCTGGTTCTGGGTCTGGTTCTGGTTCTGGTTCTCTAATACCTCTCTGCATGTCACCAGTGAACAGAGTGGGCATTTTACCACCGCGTTACCCCAGTCCCCGACCCCTCTGCCCTCCCTCCCCCCCTCCTCTCTGCTGCTCTCAACAATGGCAACCCAAGACAATGGGGTGAATTGAAGCCATCGGTGCCACATCCACACACACACACACACACACACACACGGTGGGCTCCTCCCAGAGACAATGCCAGGCACCCTCTCGTCTTCATTGTGTCTGTACAGTAAAGCTGTGAACCAGGCTACAGTATGAAGCCTGATCTGACCGCTGCTCCAACACTAACCCTCTGTGACCTGAGTGACAGATGTCCAAACCAATGTCCAAACCAACTGCTAATGCAGTTAGTGTTTCCATGTCACAGGAGTGCCTACCTGTCCACCTCCAAAGCCTTTGTGGAGAAGGACCTGGAGGTGACCATGGCTGGACGCTCCTTCATGATAACAGGAGCCAACAGTGGCATCGGGAAAGCCACCGCCACGGCCATCGCCAAGAGAGGTACAGTAAGACGGTCTGGATGCTCCAAAGACACTCTCCCTGATATAGATCAGTGTTTCCCAAAGACTGGGTCGCGACCCTCAGGAGATTTTGTTTTTGGGTCGTCTCACATCATGTTTCCCAGGAGTTTACGAATAATGTCTATGGACTTGGGCTGGGAAAGTTTGTGACTTTTGAAAATATGGACACCTGAGAAAAAAAAGTTTGGGGAACATTGATCTAGACAACACTTGTCAAACTCAGGCCCGGGGACCAAATCTGGCGCGTAGTGTAATTATACTTGGCCCACAAGGTCATATCAAATGTGTAGTAAAGCCCGCGGGTATATAGGCCGAGTATACTGGCAGGATTTGTAGCATTAGCTGTGTATGTGCTGTTGTTGTGTTATAGCAATTTTTTTTACATTAAAAATAACTTCTAAGGCTAAAGATAAAGAGACAAAATAAGAAACAAATTAGGCTTTGGTCGTTCCAGATTCAATTAAGGTCCATCCATGTTAAGATCCAAAAAAATAGAACTAAAGAAATACAAATAAAGATTCAATTAAGGTCCATCCATGTTAATACCCAAAAAAAACAAATTAAAAACTTGCACATCCTGGCCCATTCTCAGTCTGTTGTGTCACATATATATTACACATACTTTCAAAAACACACTGACGTAACGTGTGCCTGTCAAATCTGTACAATGGAGTTAAATGGTATCAGCATTAACTCCAGATTAGGAGCCCGCAGAGCAAATTGCAGTAACGACATGTCGCCACATGTTATGCTGCCTCGCCGTGATGTCCGTTCGTGTGTGTGTGCTGCAGGAGGAACCGTCCACATGGTGTGCAGGAACAAGGACAAGGCGGAGGAGGCCAGGGCCGACATTGTGAAGGAGACGGGAAATAAAGTACAGTATGACTCACCCCTGAATGTGCAGTAAAAAAAAAAAAACATGGCTGCCACAACCATCAAAATGACTCTGACTGACGTCGGTGCCGTTACAGGAAGTCTTTGTCCACATCCTGGACCTGTCGGAGACCAAGAAGGTCTGGGAGTTCGCCGAGGGCTTCAAGAAGAAGTACAAGACCCTGAATGTGCTGGTGAGGGTCAAAGACAGACTTAAAAATATGAAATGGTTACATGAGCGTGGATATATTTTCATCATGTCACTATCAAGTAAAAAAATGAAAAAATAATAATCCTCTGATGTGCAGATTAATAATGCAGGAGCCATAATGAGCCAGAGGGAGGTGAACACCGAGGGGCTGGAGAAGAGCTTCGCCACTAATGTCCTAGGTGAGTCAAACATCAGGGCGAGAGATGAAAGAGGAAACCGTGAGAGGAAATAAAGGAATGAAAACATATTTGTTTTGTTTTTTCTTAACAGGAGCTTACATTCTAACCAAGAGTCTCATTCCTTTACTGGAGAAAAGTCCAGGTCCCAGAGTGGTGAGTCTGAGTCCAGTCTCTCATCACTGAAACACTGACTATAATGAAAGTATTAATTCAGTTTTGACAGATAAAAACATTTGGTTTGATGTTAGATTTTCTACATATTTACCTTATATTTCTGCCTTAAATGTTATGAAGATTAAACGCTTGTGTCTCGAGTGCTGCGGTGTCCACCAATTCAGTGTTTTTTAGCGAGTTTGTAATTGTAAATATTTTAAGGAAGGACACTGTCTATGGACCCGACAACTAAGATCACAAGTGCTGGACAAATGTGTAGTTCGTATGAGAGTCTAGTTAAAAAAACACCAATAAAATTGTTTTATTTCTGCACATCAGACATTTTAATCTGAATTTTCTCTCTTAACTTACATCGTCTTAATTTTTACCGGGACTAAAAGCTTTGTAATGACCAAGTTCAAATATTCATTATGCAGACAGGTGGCTCCTTCAGTGTGATTTAAATATTTAAACACAGTGAATTAGAAAAGAACTGAATGGCACTTTTTAAAATGCACCTTATTTGACAACCAGCATTAATAAAATCAAAACAAACGTTTCACAGAGATGTTCTCCAGAAAAGCCTTTAATTACGTTTCCTAATTATATATTCACTCAGCTGCTCCTTTACTTTTAGGCATAGTTTCTGCTTTAACCAAGACCTAAGACCTAACTCCACCTTTCTCCTGAACCAATCATCTGTCTTTCCTGCCCTCCACGTTCAGATCACCGTGTCATCAGGAGGCATGCTGGTGCAGAAGCTCAGGACAGGAAACCTGCAGTCTGACAGGGGGCGCTATGATGGCACCATGGTCTACGCCCAGCACAAAGTAAGAACTGACCCCAGACAGGCTCACACTAACATGAACACACGCAGCTTTGGGTTTTGACTTGTCCATTGTTAGTATATATTGTCACATATTTTGTCACATTTACCCTCATATACGCATTTCCTGCAGGAAAAAAATAATTCTCAAATCCCTTTTTTTCCTGGGCAGACAAAAACCAGCAGTTTTTTTAAAAAAAACAACTAGAACTTTCTATATATGCAGTTGCTAAGGCGCCATCTGTTGGAGTGGGCATTCCCAGCATTGCAACATTCAACATTCAAAACCATAAAATAAAATTTAAATAAAATGATTTATAACCTCACCTGGAACCTGAACCTGATTGTCTTGCTCTATCTTGACAATCAATCAATCAATCAATCAAATAATCAGAACAGAATCTTGTCTAATGCACCAAAAGAGGGTTGAAAAGAGTTGAGTGATGGAGACAAAGATCTAAGAAGGTGTGGTTTAGCTGGTACTGACATGGAGAAGAGACGTGCTGTTCACAGACTGACCCTTCAGTGTGTGTGTGTGTGTGTGTGTGTGTGTGTGTGTTTCAGAGGCAGCAGGTGGTGATGACAGAGCAGCTGGCAAAGACTCACACAAACATTCACTTCTCTGTCATGCATCCTGGCTGGGTGGACACTCCAGGTACTGCACCTCACCAACCACTTACAGTGGGGTTTTTTTTATTTTTGTCGTCTAATTGTTTTTTATGTGTGTGTGTGTGTGCTCCAGGTACTGCACCTCACCAACCACTACAGCGTTATTCTTTTCTGTTGTTGTCTAACTGTTTTAGTGTGTGTGTGTGTCGGTATATTTATCAGCGGTGGCCAACGCCATGCCAGACTTCCATCGCTCCATGAAGGAAAGTCTCCGGACCCCTGATCAGGGGGCCGACACCGTGGTGTGGCTGGCTGTGTCTGAGGCCTCCATCACTAACCCCAGTGGATCCTTCTACCAGGGTAAATCTCTCTGCCTCTCCCACACCAAACTACACACAGAAGTCATCAATCATTTCTCTCACTTTTGTCCAAACCATTGGTTTCAAACTTGTCATCATGAAATAATGTTTTAAAAATAAATAATATTTCTAAGAAGATCTCAAATTCGCCATTAAAATAATCGAAATAAATAATATTTCTAAGAAGATCTTAAATTAACCATTAATATCATTAAACTCGTCATTGTAAGGCTGACAAACTCACTAAGCCTCATTTATTTTCTCAGACTTACACATTTCTAAAAGCGACATGGTTGCCCTCTGGTGGCCACATTTTAATTCCAGCACTTATACTGTACGCAGGTTTTTTTTTTTTTAAGTTTCTTGTAATACATAGACGACGAACAATCTGGAATACTCAAGGCTAATATTTCATTTGTTTTTTTGTTACAAGGCTAATATTTCATTTGTTTTTTTTTTGGGGTTTTTTTCTAATGTTTGTAGGCAGTGATTTTCAACAAAAATATCTCAGACCCTTGCAGCTGGTGTCTGTCTGTCTGTGTTTTTCTGAATATCCTTCCACCGGTGATTGTGGTTGAACATTAATCCCATGTTTGCCCCCAACGTTTACTTGGCTTTTACTGCCTCCCAAACACACAGCTCAGCTGACCCGCTGACACCGCAGCAAACACAAGTTCTAGCCTCTGAACGTAACACAAACAACGGGCATGATTTTGTTCGTATTGATGTTGACGCCAGTGTGTTTGTTTCTGTGCTCAGACCGGAGGAGGGTGCCCGCCCACCTGCCCCTGGCATGGACCCACAGCTCCCCACTGGAGGAGCAAGAGTTAATGACCCTGCTGGACGACCTGGCCAAGTCACTCCAGCCTCACTGAGGACGGTGGGACTCAGCAGCAGCACCGACACTAACACCGCCGCACGCTTTTAAAACATTCATACAAGACATGTTTTGATTTTATGAGCTCAGCTTTGCAGGGACCAATGGCAGCACTGCGGCCTAAACCTCTGTGCCTGCGATGCTTGTCACGGCGGTCGCACCACTGTTCGCAGTCAACACGGACTCTTTAGTGTGACTTTATAAAAGTTGTCACTCAGATGGGAATCTGACGTGACCAAGGTCACCCACGGAGACCAGCTTGGGGCTCAGTCTTAATGTTTGTCTGCAGTATTAACGCGACGTGACCGCACGCTTCTACATGTGTGTAGCCTTAGTCAGTAACTCGTGTCTGCGACCTGTCCGAGTCATCTCTGCCCGTTCTGCTCCACGCCCAGGACATTACTGAGGCACTACGTGTACATTCTTGAATTCCTGTGCCTTTGGTGTGTCATACTGCAGCAGCAGCAGCAGCAACGACACGTGCAATAAAAGTGTGTACTGATCTGCCGAGCACCTTTAAAAATATCTCTGTCTAACGGACTGTGACGTTGCTGTGGGTTTGTTATTTGTCTGCTTGAATATCAATAAAAACATGACTAACATCACTGTGCAGTTCTTCTTCGTCGGTGACAATAGTTGACCATCAGGCTGCGAACCCACTGTCGCGAATCGTGAATTAAAATGCACTACTGACGTAAAAAGCTCCGCTCACTTTCTGTTCATTTGGAGGTTTACCATGCAGAAAGGTCATTTTACTTATCTTTATTTGTATTGTTTTTTGTGACATGTTGTCTAATGTAACAACAGTGTTTTCCAGTTCAATGAGACACGACCTAAAGAACTCGCAGTATATGAACACAGCATATGATGAAAATGCTTTTTTTTTTAATCTACTCCTACTCTTGTTTTTTAATGGTCAGAACCATCCTATCTTGTTGTCTTTAGGATCACGTAAAAACACAGTAACTCCACGTGACAGTTGAATGAAAACGATATTTTGTACTTTAATGGTCAGTGTACACACATGTATGTAGAAATACTTACATGTATACTAGCCCGTATCATAGACAGAACACCTTCCACTTTAACAGTTTTTTATGTTTGATAAAAACTCTTTGTATTTAATCAGAGAGAGAGAAGCTCTCAGGAGAAAACTGATTGACAGTTGTTGTAATACAAGGTTAATGCGACTCATCACACCTGTCACTCAGTCTCACTGTAGAACCATCCTCCAGTCAGCTGCATTTTCTTTCGAACTCACACTAAAGCAGTAACAGTATAGTTGTCAGTATCAGTGAGTACACCAGTGAATACCAGTGAATACCAGTGAATACCAGTGAATACCAGTAAATACCAGTCTGTGCATCATTAAGTATCAGAATACATGACCCAACATTTGAGGAACAATGCTTGATAAGCATGACTTACAGGAGTTGAGGGTTCAATTTCTTAAGTGTTTCTTTATCAATGCATTTCTTTGTTGTTTATTTTTAAATGGAAGATTTGTATTATTATTATTATTATTAATATAAAGAACAATAAAAGTAATTATAACAATGTTACTATAGAATAAGACCTTGCTAATACAGACGTATTAGTCTGATTCGTCAGGCCACAGATGTCCACCAGATGGCACAAATAACAAAAGGCCAGACTTTCCGAGTGATAAATACTTTACTACAAATATAAATAAACACTACATGATCAAAAAAACTGGAATGTGACTACAGTTGGGAATTAAGTATTCAAAGATTATAATGCTCGTTCAACCACTAACAATAAGGCAAGCATTAGTCAAACATTAGAAGACATTAGCTGCTAATTACAAGGATGCTACATGTAAGCCCACCGTTGTCCCAGGATTATCGCCCTCCCAAAGCACGAGACTGAAATTAAAACAAGGCTGTTCTTTAGATCCACGAAGAAGAAGAAGAAGAAAAAAACACACCAGAGTTGTGCAAGTCAGTGCAGCGAGGGACACTGTTAATGATGGGGGGGGCAGTGGGGGGGTGATTAGAACAGACATAAAAGACTGAGCCACAGTTCTGTGGGGAGGTCAGAGTGGAATGAACACAGATGAAGACTTATGTACAACCGTCTCTTTCTTTAAGGCTTTGAAGAGACAGACAGTCGCCTCGATACCCGACGCAGCCGACGGAGTTAATTACCCAGCAGCACTTTCTGTTACAGCACTCACACCTGCTATCGAGTACCTTCATGCTTTCCCATGGAAGAAAACCAGTTTTAACTGTGAATACCATTCTTCTAATCATAGATTTTCTTCAATTGTTTTAAACATGAAAAACCCCCAAGTTAAAAACTTTGCGCTCAAATCATCACTTGGAGAAAATCTTAAATCTGCTCAAATCAAAGATAAAAAACAAAAAAAAAAAAGGTTAACTTTCTCCTCAAGACACTCCTACCTTCATAAGGGAGGTAAAATACGGTATAATATTTGGGACAAAAAGGTTGAAAACCTTCTCTTTTCTCCCCCTCTGGTATCCCATACTGACCAAACACAGTAGACATCAACTATCTACTGACGTCCCTCAACAAACGGAGAGAGTGAGTGGTTTTTAAAAGTCAGTTTCCAGTGAGTGATCTAAAGATACACAACTTATAAATCTTCATCAGGCAATGATTTTGTGTCTTGCATCAGAATTTGTCATTATTTTTTTATTGAAAATTAGCTCTAGCGTCTCAGGCTCAGGTTGGCTACATGTTCGCAAGATGCAAATGTTGCCCTACTGCGGCGATTATAAATTATTTTTAAGGTCTTTTTGGGGCCTGATTAATGTCCATTTAGGATGAGTGTAAGAGAAAGTCCAAAAAAAAAAAAAATTCTGGCACTTCCTGTCTTATGTTTTACTAAATTAGTTGTCCTTCCATAAATGTTTTCTTTTCTCTTGGCTTTGGCCAGAGTCAGTCTTACTTTTCACTTTGTGATTGGTCAATAATTAGTCTGATCAGTCCTGACACCTGAATATTGGACACCCAACAGTCAAAGTCAGGACAACACTGTGTCCAGGACCTGAAGGGGTAAAGTGCATTTCATTTTCAGATAAACAGTCAGCCCTGGAGAGGGTGGTGGAAAAACAACTTTTTTTCCCCAGGACAGTGAAGGCATCACAGGTGTCACTCTGCCTTACTGCTGTTACCACATAAACCAGCAACCTCAAACTCTGTCTTCCATGTGGACATTAACACGTCTTTGTCAATATGCCGGTTATTAATAATATTTCCATGGTGATTTTATCATCCGTGAGAATAACTACTGTGTCAGGCCTCACTGCAGCGCCATCTGCTGAGTTTACTCAGAGATTACAGCTGTCTTTGAAGAAAGTCGCTCGGTGTTTACCTCACAATGATTGACATGGAAAAGCCCTATCTGTGACGACGTATGATGTATGTATGTAAAACCTCCTGAGAGAGATTTAAGGCCAGCTAGTGAAGAAATTAAAAAACAAAAAAAACAAAAAATCACAAACATCAAACGACCGGTCAGTGAGATCAGTCCAGAGTTGTTTCAGCAAGTATACACATACACATAACGCAGGGCTGTACACAGTATACAGGGAGGGGATTTTTTGTACATGTTGCAATAATTGAGAATTATGCAGTTGGAGGGCCACAGTTATAGAAGTTAAGGTCGTATGTTTTTACAGGGACGGCAGGTCAGAGATCTGACCCAGGCATTTACAGTGCAAACGGGAAAGAAAATATGACCTTTGTCAAGAGAAGACTTGGAAAATTTGGATGTAAACGATAATATTAACACGTTCCTTCCAAAAGACAGTGATTTAAGCACACACTCACACACACATATATACACACACACACACCATAGCATTTGTGCTTAAGGTTAGGTTTCAGATCAGTACAAAATGTCAAAAATCAGTCACACAATTTAATGTCAGGCATTGATATTAAAGTGTGTTTTTTTTTTTGTCAATGAGAAGCAAACTGAATATGGTGGATGGACACACACACATACATACACACACTCACACAGACACTTACACACAGAGAGAAGGCCAGGCTGCAGCTGACGTTCCCATGCGTGCTGAGCAGAGACGTTTCATTAAAGTTGCGAGGAAGCGGGGAGAGCGTCTCCAGCACAGGAGGAGGAGAAGGTCGGGCGGGGGGTTGTGGGGGGGGCAGTGCGAAGTGGGTCGGACCAATTAGCGTGAAGAGAAACCTGTTGCTAGGCTACAGCCAACTACCTGCGTCATATCCCAGATCTGTGGAGACAAACGGCGAGTGAGAGTGACCCCAAGACGTCTGCTACAGATCCATGTCGTCATCACGGGCTGAACTGACATTTTCACAACAGATGCAGCTTGACTTTGGTTGACTTTCATTGGTAGACAACTTAATCCAATTTAAACATATTTTTGGAATTTAAAATGAACTGAAAATGAATCAATACAGTATATATTTTTTATATATTTCCAGAATATGGATTTAGAATTCCCTGTAATGTTAAATCAATGACATTTCTAATCAGGATAATAAAGAGCCAGTGTTCACCTTACTGACGCGATCGCTCCCACACGTGACCATCAGGCCCCTGGACGGGTCCATGTCCATGTGGGCAATGTTGTGTTTCCCCTCGTGGAAGGACGCCAGCGGTGTTCGACTGTAAGACGAGTAGAAATGTAGAGTCAGAGTCGCTCGCTCTGAGGAGCTGGTAGAGTTAAACTGCTTTGAACTCACTCTTCTTCTTTGATGGTGTCGAAGCAGGTGTCGCACACCCGCACCGGAAACTCAAAGCCCATGATGGGAAACGTGGATCGTTTGGAGCTGCACTTCCCACACACGGCTTTGCCACATTTTCTACAGTGGTGCTGCACAAAGGGAGCAGACATCAGAGTGACTCACGACAGAGAGAGACAGAGAGAGACAGAGAGAGAGAGACGACAGTACTGTAGCTCCAACCTGTCTGAGCCCCAGAGTCTTTGTGTCCCACATCTGCTTGAGGTTCCAGAAGAACGGCTGCTCACACATCTGACATGAGTCGCTCTCTAACCACTGAGGCGCCTGTACGGACACGGACGATGGAAATGGACAGTTTGGGATTCATTGATCCATGTTTAATGAGGTTTTGATGTTCAGTCAGACCGACTGCAGCGTGCACAGCCTTTTAATTAAAAAACAGCTGGACGCACGGGTGTCAACTATCTCTAAAACAAATGTCTTATTTTATATTTAAAAGTAGACTTGTCAACAGTTTGCTGGTATTTTTAGTCTTTGTCTTTCTAAACCCTGTCTGACTGGAATCCAGTGTTTGGTAACATCTACTCTGCAGCACCGGAGTCAATAAAGAGGTCAACGTTTTTAGCCTTAGGGACAGGTTTGCTGCTGCTGCTGCTGCAAATACTTGAGATGCAAATTAATATATTTGAACAACCAGCAGCAGAGGATAAATATTTAATGTGTTCCTGGTGTTATTTGCATTTTTCCCCCCTTGTGGCGGAGGCGGTGTCTTTACTTTCTAAGTAAAATATTAACCTATCGACTAAGGGTGAATATTTTTGTATTTGGGAGGAAACCAGAGTACCAGAAAAAGTACCAGGAAAAAACACAACAACGGAACAATTAGTGCTCATTGTGCTTTCAGGCAACGTAGCTAACCAAACTGCCAACATGTTACCAACGTTAAGTCATCAATATATCAAACGATATAGTATAGAAGGATTCTTAAAACTTCATTATATTTTGTCAGCTTTTGTTTAAAACCAACTGTGACTGAATGTCAGCTCAAACCTCTTCTCTCTGTGTGTCCATGTTCCACACGGCCATGCCTCCGTCAGCAGAGCAGGACACCAGCTGCCTGGTCAACTGGAGATAACGCAGAGACTGAACACGTTCACTGAACAGAGGAGACAGAAAGAACAAAAACTGAGGAGAAGCAATCGTCACTAAAACACAAACAGAACTGAGGAGACGACAGTCCAGGTTAGAACTGAGCCTCTACTGCAGTCACCATCGTTTATCAGCATTTACCAAACTTGAGTTGAGCAGATATTAAATCTTCCTTTGGTTTACCTTAATCTCTGCTAACATCCTAGATTTTCTCGTCATTTTTATCGACTGTGTGAAGATGGAGCCACAACATAAACAAATGAGAACGAACGCTGTCCTCGTGCAGCAGTCAGTAGATAAGGAATTATCACGGCTAATTAATAGTGTGGAAAAAGAGCAGCCAGACTTCAAAGGAGAGAACTTCATAAAACCTACTGTGGATCAGATTACAGGAAGGTAGCTGCACTCTCTTTTTATTAGTATCGGGGAGTGTGGGGGCGGTGGGGGTGGGGGTCTGTAAATACAGCTTGGCTGAAACAGGACACAGAGTAGCTTTTATTGATACAAATCAATGCACAAAGATAACTCTTCAAATGGAGGGGGTGTACTAAGAGGTAGTGAAATATTTATGTAGGCTGATAAAAAAAAGGAGCAGGGATAAAAAGAGCCTTAGCGCCTGAGACCAGCTGTTATTGATACCACTAAGAACAAAGACGTTTGTCTAACAAAGCAGGGAGACAGGGAGTGAAACGATAACAGAGACTGTAAAACTTCACACAATTTATAAATCCTGTAGCAGAGGGTAAACAATCACAGACTAAATATCAGAAGAGTCAGACCGCAGTGATTTGACTACGGTAAAAAACTTGCACCACATTGACATCATACTCCTGTTAAAAGAATAAATAAATAGCTAAATATACTGATTATATAATATCTATACAAAAAATAGCAATGGGATTTGCCCCCATGTTCACTTATGGGCCACTTAAAATGACTGGGTGGACTGGAGCTGGCCCATGAGCCTTAGTTTGACATAAGGGCTTAGTATGTTTTTTTTAAAAAGGCTGTATGACTCACTGGTGTCCCTGCAATAATAGCGTTCGTCCTTTGCGGCCCCCGATGTCCCACATTATGATGCTGTGGTCCGAGGCACCTGAGAACAGCAGCTTCTGGACGGGGTCCCACCACAGAGCACCTATACTTCCTGTGGACACACACACACACACACACACACACAGGGTTACATCTACAACAGTATGTTTCACTTTAAAACCGAGTGCGTGCAGAGCACGTTAAGCTGGTAAAATGGCTCCACCTGGTGCACTCTAGAAGAATTACAGGCAGTTCATCGTCAACACAGAACAAATGTAAACAGATGATTAACAATGATATTGTTAATATTGGTGTAAATTACCCGGTTGTAATATTTAATCCAAAGCTTTCTCAAAAACAAACAAACTTCCTCTGACTGTTACGAGGAACGTTATGTTTAACCAATGCTTCCAATAGTCCGGTCTGGTCTTCCAACAGTTCCTGTGATGAATTGCAGATTCAAACATTTATCTAAGCTTTATTTCACATCTGCCCACAATGCAATATCCACCTAATTACTTTGGCCACCCATTTATCATGAGGGGGGTTGGTGGCTAATAAAATCAATAATTCCATGATAAACTTTGTGCAGCCAGCCTCGCTTGAGTTTGTTTTTAAGAGGATCAAACCTAAACTGCAGAAATCTGCAGTCTGGTCTGTGTTCAGGTCACGTTGAACAGTGATTCCAGACAATGTGCCAGAGACAACTTCAATAATGAATAGTATGAGCAGACTGTGTTTTGTTTAAATATAGTGCAAGAAACTTCTTCTGAAAAACATCAATTTTTTATTATAATAAAACTAACCCTAAAATAAAAAAAGAATAACGAGGCTACTTCAAATCCAGTAGTTGCTCCACTCCAAGACCAGTATTGACATCAGTCCATTACATTCAGGTTCTTTCTGGTCATTATCTCTGTGTACGTATTTGAATCATCCTCTGTCATAATGTGACGTGCTTTTCATATGAGAGAAAAGACGTGGAATGCAGATCGTGTGACAAGCCCATTGTAAAGTACTTGAAGTGCAGATCGTGTGACGATCCAATTGTAAACGGAACGTGACTAAAAGTCACCAAAAGAAATAGAAGAATTCTGCCTGGTTTCCTTTCCTTTCCCTTAGCCCTGATTTGACAGGACGTCTGTGTGAAATCATCTGCTCCACCATGAAACACGCAGCACGTGTGTGTTCTTCTGAACAGAGACAGAGTCAAGAAAACAGAACAAACACTCAGTCGCCCTGGGCTGCGACCAAACCCACACTGTGCTGTGACCTGACGCTGTACTGTTTCAAACCGACAAAGGCGCTGCATACACGCCTGTTCATACAAAGAAACACATAAGCTGCTGAAGTCACACGTCATGTGATGACTAACGGCCCGCAGCAGGTAAAATGTGTTTGGAACTGTTGATCCGTGAATACAGGAGGATCCGGCCTGTGGAAGACCTCACCTCACATTTATCTCTAGTTTACGGCCAGAGACAGAAAAGAACAGCCACAGATCTAAACGGTTTACTGTGTGGGTAACGAGACAAACGCAGAGAAAGGGGTGGTCAAATAAACACTCTGGACTAAACAATGTGGGGAAATAAACACTCAGTAAAACAATGTTTGGAGAAAGGTCGGCCAATCTCAAATGACTGTCGCTTTTGATCAGGATGTGGAGCAGCTCAGATCTCAACTGTAGAGGAGCAGAGTTAGCAGTGTGTTCAGCAGTCTACATGCCAGTGTGTCCCTGGGTAGGACTGCACACTAAACCTTGTTGACATTGGTTGACCAGTTGGTCGTTAAGAATTGGAAGGATAAAAAAAGACAAAGAGTGAACGGGTGTGGATGTGTATGTGGAAAAAGTGAAGCAGAAATGAACTTTGATTTGACAAGCCCGTTTATATAATCACTAAAGTCTGACCTGCCTGTGTTTACAGAGAAAAGAGAACTATCCTAAACAGAGGCACAAGTAAAAAGAAGAAAATGTTTCTATTTCTGATTCTATCAACGTGTTTCTCTGTTATAAAAAACATAATTTTTGCAGCAGTTTGAAGACCTAACATGGTCAGGAGACCAAGTTGTCACAAATCGGTGAACTGATTATTTGGTAATGTAGTAATCTACACTGACCCCGACTATGACACATAGTACAGATGCATTATTTCTCCGTTACACTACATCATACAACAGGCATGTGAGGTCCTGAGATGGTCATGTGGTCAAAGGACTCCTCTGTTACCCTGCTCCAACAAAGAAGAACTAAAAAACAGGGCCGTGTTTGTTTGTTTGTTTCCTGGAGTGGCGTATCCATGGCAACCTATTTTTCCTGGGGGATTCACTTTCTTGGCAATGTGGCAACAAGAAGACTGAAGCCCCTGAATACAGATCTGACCCATTTTATTCATCTTTTGTGAAGTTACAAGAATTTTCCTGGTAGATTTTTTTTTTTCTTCTCATTTGCAATTCACAAAGAGATGAGACGAACATGAAAAAACAGCCAAGGCTGCATACTTTATAATCTGCACTCTGTCACAGGCGTGATATCCAAAGGAATATTTTACCTTCGTGACCCTTCAGGGTGGTGATGGTGGAGTAGGTCTGCTTTTCCAGTTTCAGCAGCGTGATCTGTCCTGAGTAATCACCCACAAAGGCGTGCTGTGTGTCGTGATCGTATCTGAGGGAGAGAGTCAGGGCTTCAAAAGGAGGTGGATGTTAAAAAATACATCTGACGGAGACTCAGAGCTCAGAGCTGAAACTGAATGTCTCAGACTGAAGGATACTGTAGGCAGGAGGCCCAGGCGTTGAAGTAGTGTCTCCCCAGCATGCTTCCACTCTGGGTGCACATCCAGCTCACGCTCTTGTCGTGGCCCGTGCTCACCAGCCACTCACTCTCCAGAGAGAACACCATATCTGACACTCGGTTCTGGTGGGCTGAAAGAGACAGGATTTCAACAGGTAACTTTAAATAAAAAGGTAAAAAAAATATATTACAAGGTGATATTTTGCAGAGATATATTCTATTGTTCATTGTGCTTCTTGTTTTTTGTCTCAGTGTCACAATAATGCGGCTCAAACTCCCATCAGTCTGATATCAGGGCCATTTCAGACATCGTTAGTCACAAACCCACTAATTTCTGTTCTGGTTTTGTGAGTAATCACATCATGACTCAGCAGAGGAAGATCTGTTTGTCCCGTGTTTTGCTATAATTATGGAAAAAAATATTGTAGCAACATCACAAATGCCAGAAGGCATAAATATCAAACATTTAAAACTGTCAGACTTAAAAACAGTTCAACAAACTGAATATTATTATAACTATCTTCAAATTATTTTTCCAACCTTTGTGATAAACATCTGCCTCGGCCTCTCAGCTCTGCTGCTCCATCTCTGCCTTTTTCACTCACTCCTATTCCCCACTTTAAATGAATTAGTCTTAATGATCATTTGTATTCATTTAAAACCTTCTTTGTACCACAGCAAACACACACTGTGTCTAAAAACACACAAAACTCATGAAACACACTCTGCTCAATATTCAAGGTGTCCAGCAACAAACAGCAGACCTTTGACTTCCATCATAAATGATGTGATGTGACAGACTTTGATTACTCCATTCTTTACTGTGAGCTATGGAAGCCTGTGAAGAACCTTTAATTCTGTACCACCGAAGCCTGACTCATCATTATTTTTGCTGTTCTGGCCTTAACCTCTTAATGCGAAAGCCAGATGGATCTTTCCAGTGCAGTCGTTGGACTCTTTCAATCTAATACTCTAACAAAAAGATCCATCTGTTTTGCAGTTTAACTTTCCGCTGAGGAGGCTAATAATGAGTTCATAGGAATCCAGCCACAGATTCTTGGGTTGTCTGTCATGGTTTCTCTGAAGGGGAATGTGAAACAGATTGCACAAAAAAGGAAAATCCAGGCTCGTTTATTTAATGTCCGTGGTGTCACAAGATTAAAAACCTCCACTTTACATGCTTTAATGGGCATTGAAAAAACAAGATGTGTCTTTGTTCATTATTTCAAAAAATGTGGTGGTGACCCCAGTGTAAACTCCTCAACTCTTCTTACAAATAGAGAACATTTTGAACAGTCATCTTCTTATGAGGTGTATTTATATCAGTACTTTCATTCAGGGTGAATTTATCACCACAGTACTTTAATTCAGGGTAAATTTATCAGTGTCACATAGTTTAATATCAGTATTCAATCTGTACTGCTTTTTACTGCAACCTTTAGTGTGTGCAATGATTAGAATGAGGCAAGAAGGATGTGTTTCATTGTGGGATGAAGTAATTGCAAGTAGGAAATACAACCTCAGTACAAACGGCTGTGTTTCTGGGACCTTATTTTAGGGCCATGAACCTCAGACACAGTGAGAACTGCACTATTATGTTTACTGTTATATAAAAAAAACGACTTAATTCAACTGCCATAAAACCGTAGGTTAAACTTCATACCTGGATAGGTCTTCACGTGGTTCATCTTGTTGAAATCTTCAGAAATAAGAAACTCCTGCAGGTGAGAGCAAACACCAGTCAAAGAAAAATAAAATAAAATAAAATCTTCTAATCTTCAACTACATTCCCTCCCACAGGGACTTGGAGCAGTCCAAATATTTATCTGGGGATTTCACTCTTCCAGATATACAGCTTTTTCTTGTTTTGTTTTTTTTAATTCAAAAGATCAGCTTAAAGTGTCCACCAACGGCAGTTATTATAAGACTGTTTGTACAAGGAGGCGCCGCTCACCACAACAGCTCCATTCTCCTGGCCTATGAAGATACGACGGCTGTCATGGTGGTACGACATGGAAGAGCACGGAGCTAAAAAAAGAAGGAAAAAAAAAGACAGGATGTCCATTAGCGGTGGCTTCATTCGACTGTTAACTTACACACAGGGATGTTTGTAATTACTTGCACACGTGCAGCATCACTCACAGGAGACGGTGTGGTAGATGCTGGGCCAGTACTGGCCGCTGTCTCTCTTCAGCCATACTCTGATTGTCCTGAAAGAAAATGTTAGAGCACGGGTGTCGAGGTAAATATCGGGTAATGATGAAGGGAGTTTCAGGCTTTCAGACTATCACAGTTACCTGGTGGGGACAATGGCCTCATTGTTGTGTGGGATTTTAAAAAGCCAAAGCCATAAAGGAACACATTTGATACTTTCTGATGGGAAGAGTCAACAATGTAGCAGTGCAAGAAAAAAAAACCCTCCTATACACAGTATACAGTAAATGTATTAAAATGACAGGTTCAATGTGGCTACGGTTTAGTCCAGAAACAAACAAGTCACTGTCAAAGGAGAAAAGAAACAAAAAGTATCTGAGAAGAACTGAAACATTCAAAACACAGAAATGAGGAAGTTTTTTTTTTATGTACACAAAAACAAATAGTTAGAACTCAACATTCGACGAGGGTACATTTAGTAGTCATCTAGTCAGATATGACTAATAGTTACAGCACTAGTCATCACTTTGGGAAACCACAATAAAAGATGAACAATATTTTCGAGAAGGTCTTGTCCTAGCGGTCCAGTACACGTTGAACTGTAACTGACAGTTACGCATGTTCCAGTTTGAATATCCTTTGGAAAAATTCCTGGACATGGACTTAATCCTCATGTGGAAAATCAGCTCTAACTCTCCTTGGTCACAAAAGCCCTGGACTCTGGTCCGCTGCACAACAGCAGCAGAGCTGTGTGTGAGTCGGTGACATATTTGTTGGTTTGAATCATCTCAGCTGTCGGAAGCGTTTTTCAATGCAACCATGCATACAAACCATACAGAAGTTTTTGGCACTAATGTTCATCGGTAACATTTTGCTATTTGGTTAACTGTTTCCAAATACAGATGTCACAAAGAATCTGAAGCAGACAGCTACGGTTTTTATAATGTGATGGAAACTTGTGTCTTCATTTTGATCCTTGCTGTTACGTGATGGAAACCTTTTTTATTATTATTATTTTCTCCTTCGTTTTTTCTTGTATCGTCTGTTATTTTACATTTTTGCAGAGTCACAGCCTGATGGCCATCTTGGTTTAATCAAGGAACCTGAATGTAGGAGTGCTGCAACTTCCTCTTGCAAGAATGCATTATATTTCTCCAAAATCAACAACACTTAGTTTCTTTCTATGTAAATGAGGATGTTGTCTCTTCACACTGGTCTATACTTCAAATGAATTTAAAACAGTATGATGCTGTGACGCTCGTACTGTAGGTTACAGTCGGTAGACGTGTTATAGGCTAAAAACTGGACGAGGTTAGACTAAACTCTGATATTAAAGAAATGCTGTGGAGGACAAGCTCCTGTCACCATGTCATACACAACAGGTGAGTTCAAGGTGAGAGCACAACAGAAGGCATGTTCTACTTTTACAACAGGGTCTGTTCTGGAGGGGGGGGGCTGGGATTGTCCCCAGAAACAGGTGTAGTAAAGCAGGAAAGAAAAAAAACAAAACATCTTTTCATTCAAATTGTCTGACCAGGAGTTCCATCAGCTGAAAAATCCAATCAAAATCCATCTACCCTCTGGACAAGTCCAGGCAGAAATTAGGAAGATTAGTGGTTCAAAGCTGGACCTTCTTCACGGAAGCTTGGCAAAGCAACTCAACACTACACAACAACTGAAAGATGGACGCAGAGACATGGGAGTAGGTGCTCAGGATTAACAAGACAAATTGGACATATTTGACTGTAGCGGCAGACGGATTGTTTCGTAAAGCGAGGTGGTTCTTAAAAAGCCTGTTATGACCTTTCCCGTCATAACACCAAGTCACCTCAACGAATAAACTTCGCCACGTCAAAACACTAGCTTATTTCTAACAATGCATACGTTTGGTTTGTTTTATACTTTACTTACGTTTAATTAATCATCATTTTGATTTCTTTGTTTTTTGAACTGAAGACGTGGGCTGTCAGCACTGAGAACTTCTGTAGCTCTTTAAAACCAACTTCTGTACTACTTTGAATTCAGAGAACAGTGCTAGTAATCATTAAACTCAGCAATAACATGACGTAACTCCATAACAAACACAATGGTCATAAATCTGACGTTGCATATTGGGAAATAATTGTTACTGTTACAGTTGGCTGGTGGTTTGTGGCTGTATTTTGACAGAGGCGAACCATTGTCCATGTCCTCCCCTTCATGCTCTAACGTCGGTTCCACATCTACAGCCCGACATATTAAACTAATAACCGTTGGAGCCTGACTGGATTTATACACCACGGTTTTACCTTAGCAAATAAATACCTGTACAATTTTTACAGTTAGGGTCCAGCAAATACACGGAGCCCGTTAGCAACGGCGGCTAGCCGATTTAGCGAACTGACCTGTCCTCGCTGACGGTGATAACTCCATCTTCTTTGGGGATTAAAACGGCTGCGTTGACTGCGTCGGAGTGTCCCTCGATTTTGTTCAAAAGCACCGGTCTGGCGGTCTGAGGCCTCGAGTGAATCTCCGCAGCCATGACTGTGAGTCTTGAAGCACCAGCAGCAGCTGCAGTTTGCCTTACCCGCAGCTGCTTTTCCTTCTTAGCTTCGTCTAGTCGCCAGTGAAGGATCAGCTGACACCCATAGTTGCTAACAGTCAGGATTACCGTAATAACTGCAACAATGCGCCTCAAAAAGATGTCAACCAAACCGTAAATTGACACGAGCGACTTGTTGGTGCTATCTTATGTTGAATTACCGTAATAAAACCTGAATGAACTGGTATTCGTTTATTATCTCTTTAGAATTGGAAATATGACAGTTTAAAGATGTTTTTCAAACATTATGATTGGTGCTTTACTCTCCAAAAAGATAGGAAATGCACACTTCACCAAAACATGCCAGGCAGTAATTTGATTTGCTAATGCACACTTCACCAAAACATGCCAGGTAGTAATTTGATTTGCTTTACAGCAAGATCACTGGTTCAAACCCCTGATCTAATTGAATTCCTTTTACTCTTTATTAAAATCATTTTTTTGGGAAAATAAAAGATGTAAACAACATTATACTCTGACAAGGAAGAGGCAATAAATGCCATTACAACAGGATATCAAGGAATCACTGGTGTTATAAATATGTGTGTTTATTTTCTCATATAGGAAGCATGTTTAATAACACAAAATGCCCTCCGTGAGGGAAATAACCATTTGTTTGTGGCTCTTATACATTCAAAGCAACTCAAAATATGGGATTAATCAGTTTATGAACTAAACATTTGAATCAACATTACAGAATTGAGAAAACACACATCTGACATTCGTTTATAAAACATAAGACAAAATAAAAGCGTTTTTTAAAAAGTTAAAAAAAAAAAAAACAAACAAAGAAAGGAAAGCAGAACAAAAACTGAAACTTTTCATAGGTCTGGTTTAGCATTACAAAAATGAAAAACATAGGGAAAAAATCCTCAAAAATCACATGTCCACACTGTACAAAAGTCAACAGCGAAGTGTGTTTGGTGTATATGTTGTGTGTTTCTGTAAGAGTATGTCTGTGAGTGCGTGTTTGTGACACTGAAAGACACATTTCTGTTGCTGGCCAGTGAGCTGCCAGAATCTTTGACAGTGGAGACTGGATTCAAGGCTTGTTGATCTGACCCATAAAGAGAATAGTACCTGAGGGCAGAAGACCAGAGGAAAATAAATAAATAAATAAAATGGGGACAGCGTAAATAAACAGTAGCCTGGAAGTGTGGTTTGACCTAAAAGTAAAGGGTGATGCTGTAATTCTGAAACCTTAGTTATAAAAAGTTACAACTTGAGGCAGCAATAGATAAAACCTGTTGATGCATTGACAACATTGTAATCATATATTCCATGGTGGGAACCAGATGACATTACCTGTTGGGTTATGCCTTATAAGGAAGAGGAAAGGTCTGTCCACCGTCACCCATGGTGGGGAGGAGCGAGCCAGCAAAATAGCAGCTTAAAAAGAAAAAAAAAATCAGAAACAGAAATCACACTAATATTGTTAGATTTCCAACATTAACATCTTTTAATTTTGCACTGAAAGCAAGACATAAGCTGAGCGATCACAGTGCAGTTTTTAATACTTACCAGTGGCAGCTGCTGCTTTTGTTCCATCTTCGTTCACCTCGATTTTGGCCTTCTGCAGTGCTTTGGATACATACACAGCTTCAGAACCTGAGGGAAAAATACTGAATGTGATACAGAGCTTTGGTCCGGACACATTTAAGTGAACAATATTTCTTAATGCTGAATGTGTAGCGAGAGATATTCCTGCACTAGTGAACAAACATGGTGTAAATTCATCAGTCACCTAATTTATTACAAACATGGTGTAAATTCATCAGTCACATCAGTCACCTAATTTATCTTATTTTAGATAAATAGGTTTTCCCTTAGGCAGGTCAAATTACATGTGGGTCACTGTAAATGTGGGTTAATATAAATGGCATTAGAAACAGAAGTTAAATCATAATTTGTAGAGCTCACTGAAGCGTGGCCCTGAGGCTGAAAAAGAAAAAAAAACACTCAATGTTATTTTAAAAAATATGTCACAAACAGTAGTCTGTTGTTCTGATGTAAAATACCCTCAAATATGCCACATGTTTGTATCTTAGTAGGGCTTTTACTCTAGGCTCATTGTCCACTGTTCACCAAGTTAAGAAATGATGATCAAATACACCACAAGGTGGCACTGTAGCTCTACAAACGTAGCTCCCTTTATTGTTTTGTCCAGGAGCAAAAAAAACAAACAGTGACGGTTTAGTTTTTTAAACTGAAAGATTAGTAACTATTTGTACTTTTACCAGGAAAAAAACTGAAAAATCCAACGATCATAGTTCATATTGAGAATTTTGTTCATGTGGAAAGTACTGAGTGACGTGTGCATCTGAGCAGAGTTTACTTTCACTCACTGAGGTGTCTGAAGTCAGCTTTTTCCTGACTAAACAAGTCTGTAATTCCAAGTGCAGACAGAGAAGCTTCCAGATCTACCTCTGCATCAGCAGTGAACCTACAAGTACACAAAAACATGGCGCACGCACACACACGGAGGTCACATTCCCATGAGTTCATTTGAATTTTCCCTAGCCTGAGTGCGCTGGTGTGACTCTTACTTGGGGATGACCAGCTGGACTTTCCTCGCACGCATCTGTTTGGTCCAGCTCTGCACGGTGGCTGTGCTGATGTGTGGGATGAGCTGAGACAGAGCTGCATCTTCATCGAAGGGCAGCACTATCAGCATGCTGATGGTGTTCCCGTGATAAGGAAGAGAAATGACGTTATATTTCAGCCCCTGAGGTGTGGTGGCAGTACCTTAGTAAAAGTGGAAAAACGTCACATTGTCACAGAGAGGAACACAGCTTAGTTCAGATACAAAGCCACAAATTCAACAACAATGTCAATGTTTTACTGTTTTACTGAGAGGAACACAGCTTAGTTCAGATACAAGGCCACAAATTCAATGACAAACAATGACCTGTCAATGTTTTACTTTAACTACAGTATAATTTACTGTATCCTGAGACACCAGGGAATAAGGATTGTCATAGTTTTAACATTGCCGACTCAGACTCACCTAAAATATGAGCACATTTTGGCAAAGCCTGTCGTCAACTTTAAATAAACGTTGATGATTTGTAGATGCTGTCGTCGTAAACAAACTGGAGATGAAACTTTTAGCCCTACCTCTTAAATCAAGAGCAGAACAGCTTAGGGATCAAACTGCCTTGTATTAGATGATAAAATACAGTGAAGACCAACAGACAAGGTTCTTGGAAGTTGTAAATTCCAACTCGTTTGCATAGTGTTTGGCCACAACATCAATTACAGTGTGCCTAGACACTGTGATTTCAGGCTTTGATTTGGCCATTAAAATGAAAAAACATGTCATTATAGAGTTACGGGTGGATAAATCCCCTGTTGTCAAGCCAAACACAAGTTACTCGGAGCTTCGGATATTACATTTCTCTATCTTTGCTGTGTGTATATAAAGTAATAAATATTAAATCAGTGTATCAGAGATCTAAGCTCTACAACAGACACACTGCAGGAAACTGCAGAGACAGTCTAAGCTGAGGAGAGGAATCTACCCAGGGCACTCAGCACGATAACACTCAACTCCTCTAAAAATAAACGACTGACTGGTTCACCATTCCATTTCACACAGGGACAAATAACATCCTGTGGACGATGAAGTCTGCATTGGTATTTAACTCTAGATTTGCTCATCCAGAAAACACAGAGTTGAGTTATCTGGTCCCTCAGTGTAAGAAAATCATGTCACAATTTTCCATCCCAGCCAGAATATCCTGTGTGTGACTAACTTTGTTGCTCACTCTGGAAAACCTCCACTTTTCACTTTTTAGAAATCAAAGCATCTGATTCATGTAGGCAGAGCCATCTTTGAATGTTTTGGAATCAAAACACACAGGACTAAGGCTCTACTAAGGCTCATAGAGAAACACAGCATTTCATCTTCCTTTGTGCTTTATCACTGATATTGATCCAAGAAAGATCAGACTTAACAAAAAATAACAGATGGTAATAATGGTTAAGAACGGCCAAAATGACCCTTTAAGGTCAACGGTATGAACTCCAATACGTCCATAACTCACTGATGTTGAAGACGGAGAGCTGTGACATCATCGGGACTGAGTGCACACTCCCATCACCCGCCTTGAAGGGTCGCATCTTGGTGTTCGATGGCCGGAAGCGGGACTTCCACAGGCCTTTGAAGTAGATTGAGTTGACAGTGACCAGTCTGATCATAGGCGAGTCCAGCATGTCTGGTTTGACCAAGGTAGGGATGAGACCTGGAGAAACGTCAAAGCATCATATGTTTAATAAAAAAAAGAAGTAAATACTGGTGCAAAAACCTAAAAAAACAAACAAACAAGAGATTATCCACTATAGTGAGAGATGATGAAGGGAGGAGCAGAAACTGGGACTCGGCTCAGACTAGTGTGTATGCAGCTGCTGCGTCCAGCCGTGCCTCCCACCTTTGGTCTTGTTGTTGACCCAGTCGTTGATTTGACTCGCTGCATCCTCAGAGTTGTTGAAGTCCAAGCTCCTGAACTCACTCTGGAAGTTGGCTTTGTTAGTGGCCACAAAGGACTCCTTCATGGGGAAGCCCTTCTGGCTGAAAATGCCATTGGCAATGAGCACAGCATCCTGATTGGACCGAGCCATCAGAGATTTGTGCAACTTCTTCAACATCTTGTAAGGACCTGAGGAGAAACGACCAGTTTTACATCATACCTCAATCATCCTATGATCCTGGTTAAATGTTCTGTAAATGTTTCTGGGAATTATAATATATTTTGTATATCATCATTTAACATGTTTTACTTAAAGTAACACATTTCTACAATACAGTACTGCCATTCAACTTCAATAGAACTTTGTACCTGAAGGCAATATTAATCAAATGACACAACCTTTTGGGTTTCACTTTTCTTTGAAATGGTCTTCAACCACTGGATTGCAGACTTCCACATTTATATTTATATATATATATATATCTGTGTGTATATATATAAAAAAATCCCTCTGCAGCTCTTGACATGTGCCAAGACACTCTCACGAAACTTCAGAAAAATAAATCGCACATTGCACAGGAAGTGTCTAAAAAAAAATCTAAAAACAAAAACCCATGTCATATTTTTAGAAAAAGCAAATGTCGATTAAAGAAACTGAAAGAGCTAAATAACTCAAAATATCTAGTATACTGTAAATCATGGACAGGAGATTCCCACATGTGAACTTATTCAGCATTATGGTGATCTTTTTCTTTTTTTAATTATTTTTTTATTCTGTTTTTTTTTTTTTTATTTATTGAAGAAAAAAAGAGACAAATAAAACCTGAACTAGATTTTCTTTTTTGAAAACCATCATGAACAACCCTTACCATTTTTCTTGTAGTGGAGACCACTTACGATCTGCTTCCTGGTCTCTCCATGGGTTCCAGGCAGCAGCATGCCTAGAATGGAAGCCACTCCGTGGGGTGAAAACACCACGTTCTCCAGGGGCTTGGAACGTGCTACTTGCTGGAACACCTGTATGCCAAAGTCTGAGCCACGTTCACCATATGAAGGGGACTGGGGCAGTACACACTCCAGGCCACGCAGGACCACCAGGAGACACAAACATAAGGAAAGGTGCTTCATTGTGACTCACAGAGCACCTGGTGAGAAACAAGACACAGAGTTATTAGCTTTGTGCATGAGTTGTCTAAATAAAGCCTAACCCGTCACCCAATTCAGATGTGGTAAAAACGTCCATTTACAAGCTGGCAGGTAATTTAAGTCCACTTCCAAGAAACCTGAATGTCCCTCTTCACGTGACTCACGCTGGAATTACCACATGTGTCTTCACTTGTCCTAAGGCAACAGAATGGTTTACCAAGAGACCTTAGTGGTCTCTGACTAATACGTACCGTCCACTTTTCCTGCAGTGATGTCTTTACTGGCCTTGACATGATCGATTCATCAGCATTAATCACCATTTCACTGATTTACTGAGATGCCGACTTGTCTTGAAATTCAAACTGAAATATTCTTTCGTAAAATGAAAAATATTTAGCAATAACTAAACTGCATCTTAAGTTTGAGGTAGGGTTTAATTATTGCTCAATGCTTAATGTCTATCACTCTGAGTATTTCATAGATACAAATGTGTTAAAAACTGTCTTCTGATTAATGAAGGGAGTGATTTTCAGTTCACAGAAGTTGCACAACAGACAAACTAACATCTTTCTAAACTTCTATTGTATCAACTAGAATGTTTGTTAGCTCGGTGAAGAACAAATAATCGTCGTCTAGTTTAATAACAGGTTCCCTGGCAGTCAGTAAACGTCTTAAAATTAGATTTGTGTCATTTTAGTCTAATCAGAAATACAGCGAAGTGAAACGGAAATTGATGCTATAGGACAACACAATGCTGCGCGTACCACTTGTTCAAACTGCGAGGCCAAATGAAAGCACACCAAATGCCAAAGTGATGGAAAACGCCCAACCACAACGTGTTTTAAACACATTAGGTTCGCTGGGATAAAATGGCATGTTTTTAAAATATTTCCAACACGCCAATTAACGTCAAACAAGGCTAAAGTGTCGCGGTTCTCGCAGTGGGATAACATTTAATTGTATGTTTATTTTAACGTGTCAGGGGGAAAAACATGGCATTTTTACAAAACAACTACATTCACAAACAATATGAACTGACGACTAATTTAACTTTTTTCTTGTCAAAGCATAATTCTCGATCCTACCACTCTGGACGTGACGTTGTTGTTCCGCTTTTCCTGCAGGTGAATTTGCGACCTTTTCTCTCCTCAAACCAAACTTTATCCGCAGTTTATATCAAACTAAACTGTAATATTTTCGACTCCAATCGTAGGTAAAGAACCAAGTTACTCCACCGTTCTTTCACTGAGGGATTTACTAACCTCAACTCCGCCTTTAAACCAAACAGAGCTGCGGGGAAGAGGGGGGAGTAACTACGTTTGGGCGAAAATAGCAGAGACAGAGGTAGACGGATTCCGGCAGACCTTCAAAATAAATCATCAATAAAAAATAACACTTCCGGTTTTCAGTCTAACAATTATTTTAAATATTTTATGCTACTTTGCTTAACTTAGCTGCATATTAAACTAGGTTTAAAAGACTACACTTCGAGCCATCATTATTTTTGAGCTTCATCAGTTTTTGTCTTTTAAATTTGTCAATAATTACTTCTCATTGTAACTATGGACAACAGAAATATTATATGTAGAAAAAGGACACAGCCAAAACAAGCTATGAAAACCAAATAAAATGGGAAAGATGGGAAGTGTTGGGTTGCAACACATAAAAGACACACCTAAAAAAAAAGGCTAAAGTGTTGGGTTGCAACACATAAAAGACACCTAAAAAAAGGCTAAATCTAAAAAACATCCATGTTCCTCTCGCCCTGAGGAAAACATGTGCTTGAGAGGTTGAATAACAGGTCATTAATTAAAATTCTGTGTAGAAATTATGACACCTCAAATGTTGACCTGTGTAAAAAGCTTGTAGGTTGTTATTAATGCATATTCTACAAGTGTTTGGGCTGAACCTCCTGTCTCCTGTCGAGGAGGCTTTCAGGATCAGATATGGATCCCTGCTCTTTGTGCTTGGATTTCTGTCATGTCCCGCTGAGATGCAGAGATGGCTGTGTTGTAAAAATAAACAGAGATACTGTCTCTGTGTGTGTGTCTGCTAATTAAATCAAGACACAGCTGTGTATTCTGATCAGGTCATGAAAGGACTGTTATTGCTTTCCTGCAGCTTCGTCTCATCATTATTATTATTATTTTTTGCCATAAAACAATAACATGGCAACACAGCATGCATTCTAGAAAAAACAACTGCCACAGAATTTTGCTGTTGCAAAGATGCCAGCTCGGCATAATGGACAAGCAAACCTGCTGTGGAAAACCTTTCAGCTGTACTTTTATCATCAAACAAGACGAAACTTGTCCTGGAAATGAAGGCCAGGTGTTTATGTGTTTGGGTAACAAACACGTCAATTCAAGCAAGCTCAAGGAAAAATACCCTGGGGTTAAAACAAGATTTTACAAGTTACCAGTGAGACTGATATAACTGTCTGGTTAACAGATTTAAACTTTCTAAAGAACTGATTCTTCAACCCAGATTTGAGTGTTTATCACTAGCTCAGAACTAGGTCACTGCAGTAAGAACCAGTCTGTGACAAAAATGTTTCAGCTCAGTGGTACAACGCCACCACTGGAGATGCTGGTAAGAAGAGATTTTATCTTCGGGTGATGTTTACTGATTCGTATTTTGGAGAGAAAGCAACATCATATCAGTAAATCACCCACATAGTAAAAAGAAAAACAGTAACCACACATACAGTACTGCCACACTGGTGTCTCATTTTAGTGAAAAAATAAAAAGCCCATCCAAACACATTTATTTGTATCAACAACTTTTTTAATAGTTATTTTTATTGTAAAAATCATCTATTTTCTCTCCGGTCATTGGTGAAGAACAGCAAGATAAAACATTGAATACAATTAGGATCAAATGAGTCACAAATTGGTGTTTGATTTTGTTTTGATGTTCTGTGAAGATATTTAAATCTGATTGTCCTCGTGCATGTACATGTACATTCAGCCTAACCCTGAACATCACAGGAAGGTGCATTGACCAAGAGTAAATAACTGACAATGTTGACTCAAAATGAAACTTAAACAACAAGTCATAAAAAATAACTTCATTCATCCACTTCTGAAGACCTGGTATAACAAAACAATTCTGGACTTTGTAGGCAAAGGTTATGCAGGTTTTCCAAAAACCCCCCCCCCCCCGCCCTTCTCTCAGTCACTTCTTAAATCATTCATTCAGCAACTTCACAGTAAAACAAGCGCTCCCGTGCCAACAGCAATGATTTGATTCAGCCAATTATTACTTTAGGCTTTTTCCACCATCAGGTCACTCTTTCAGCCACTGCTGCAGAAAAACTGAGACGTGCACGCGGGCCTGGGCCAGCTGGGGGGGGTCCTCACTCCTGGCAGGGTACATGTTGGCACAGTGGGCCGTTCCTGGATCACACAGAAAATTATGTATTCAGGATATGGCAACGCAAGGTAGTAAAGCTGAGAGTAGTAAAGCACAATTTTCCACCTAATCAAATTAGGAGCCAAACAACGAAGTCATTGTTGGGCTGACATAAATACGGACCTTAGTTGTTCTGCAGGGCATTACAGGACCCTGTAGGCCCGGCCTCAGCAACAGCCAGTAGGATCTTCTTGGTATAATCAGAAATAATCAGACTTCCACTGTTCCACCATTGGAGTTTAATTCACAAATTCAGAACCCCGCAAATTGAAATACTATTGAGAACCTGATAACATGTATATTTTTATCTGTACAAACCACTGTATGAGTTGCTGCCACCTAGTGACTGGAGGCTTGTTATCATTCCAGCATTCCAGCAGTGGTGCCTTACCGACAACCGACACCTCGCTGGTTTAAAGGCATCAAATATATATTTGATTTAATCTCCTCTCACTTTGTTGTGTGTATTGTTTGGTTACCTTTGATGAAGACAGCAGGCAGACTGGATGTGATGTCCTCTGTGATTCCCAGGGCATGCCACGGGTCAATGGAACCGTTGGGAAAAACGATTCTGCTGGAGCGGATGTCGTAGCCACCGTAGTATTCGTTGGTCTGCAGCACAGCCTCCGCTATCTGCTGAGCACTGACGTTGTAAAATTCAGCGCACTGTTTCACCTGGTAACTACAGATGAACACACGTAACACAGACGTAACACAGACGTAACACAGATGAGTTTAAGGCCAAAAAAATACAACTGCGTTAATGTGATTTTTTTTTTTAGGCAGATGTTTAGAGTACACACGTAAGAGGGAAGCCGGTGAAAGGCTGGTTGGGTGAGTCAGTGCTCTGGTAGAATCCAAATTCTGTGCAGGTCTGGTAGACCCACTGTCTCCCTGACAACACACACACCAGCACACACAGTTTCATTATCCCACTCACCGACACAGTACATTCTTTGGCACTTGAACCAACACAATTAAAAACCTAAAACTCTCTCAGTCAGACTCACAGAAATATTCAGTCCACTGTGAAAATTCATACAGTTTTTACATGAGGGGAAAAAACGTCGCCACTGGTGAGAGTCTTTAACAATAACAACTCTAAGTCTTCGTGACGGCTCACACAGTACATACCTCCCCCTGCTGCTGCCCCCTCCCAGGAAGTGTTGGTCATGTCACTGAGGTACTCTGTGTATCTGGCATCCAGGCATTTAATAGAGAAAGTGTCCATCATGAGTTTGGCCACAGCAGCGTAGCGGGCGTAGGGGTCTCCCAGGGAGGTGTCGGCCATCAGCCCACAGAGAACTTTGATGGTGATGTTTGTGCCTCTGCCGCCCTTCAATGGGGAAAAAAAGACTTTAACACCTGAAGAGAACATTTCACTGTGAACTTATACCATTTATACAAACTGATACTTTTGTGTACTAGGCAATACTGAGTATCAATACACATACTTCTTTGGGTTGGGTTTCAACAGGGTGAAGTGGAGTGTTTGGGATTTGGTATGAACCAAAGAAGTGATCCACTTAATTAATTAGATTAAAGACATTATACAGGGATGGATGGATGGATGGATAGATAGATAGATGATGGATGGATGGATAGATGGATGGAGGGATGGATGGATGGAAGGATGGATAGATGGATGATGGATGATGGATGATGGATGATGGATGATGGATGATAGATGATGGATGTGTAGATGGATGGATGAATAGATAGAGAGGTGGGTGGGTAGAGGGATGGATGGATGGATGGATAGAATATTCTTCTGACTTGGTCTGTTCTGTATGTTGAAGAACAGACCAGGTTGTCAACATACAGTGACAGACTATAATAAGGTGGTCCGTGTCACTGCAGGAGTAAACATTCAGCTGTGGTTGCGGAGCCTGAACCTGAAGCACGCTCTCGTCAGTTAGTAATAAACTGTGACTTCTCTCCGTCTGCGTCACACAGCAGTTACACTCTGGTTCTTCACACTCTGGTTCTACAGAATGTTTCTCCTGTGTCGCCTAAAGCAGCTCCATGAAAACCCCCCCGGCCACTGGTCGGACGCTCACGGGATCGCTCCTCACTCCTCGGACTCATACCCACAATCCTTCACTGTTACCTAAAACCAGTTACTTTGCTCCGAAGCCTCACTCAGAAAGGCAGCCATTGGCTGCGTTTGTCTGGGAGTCCTGTGGAATCTGTGGCCCACTGCTCCTCTTGGCTCTTTTATAAGTGTGTCTTTGGCGTGGGGCGACAGGAAACCAGTGAGACCAAAGAATCTTTTGTTGCTTTTTCACATCCGCTCATCGGTAACCAGACTCACGTCTCCTCAAGGCAGCGAGAGGACGGAGAGAGGACAGGGGGAGAAGAGGAGCAGCCAAGGAAATAGAAAAGGAGTGACTACAGTCACAGTCAGAGAAGAATTTCACCAGCAGGGGGACCCGGTTCAAAAATCACTAAGTGTAGGTAAACTGAAGTCCAGTGGTCAGGAGATGTGGTTTAACATTCACATTTGGTGGCCACTTTAAAAAGATCAAATAGTTGATGATCCATCATCAAATGATCAATAGAAAAATATCGACATTCAGTATCTATTTGGTGGCCACTTTAAAAAGATCAAATGATCAATAAAAAAATATCGACATTCAGTATCTGTTTACTTGATACCAATGTGATGATTTCTTAATCAAACAAATTTGGAGTGAATCTAAGAGCTGAATAATTCAATCCCCCATTAGTTGTAATTTTAAAATCTAATGTTTCAATGTCAACCAAACAGCTGAAGTTTACAAGCAACTCATTTTCCCACACTGAGGTCCATAAAAAAAATGTGGTTTTAGATTCCGCCCACACAGGAGTGACTGTTCTGAGATCAATCCAAACTCTAAAAAAATCTAAAGAATCTCAAAATAAAACACTCCAGCCTTCAGAGAGAAGCAGCCGTGGATTGTCACCAACTGTGTGCTGCAACATAGAAGTGATTTTTTTTCTATGGACCTTGGTGGTGGAGTTCAGGATGAATCTATATAATCTATAGATTTGCTGGTCGCTTTTTAACTGAGATTGGGTGAGGATCTGAGGCTAGTTCTACTTCGAACAGTCAACATTAGAAATGTGTTATTAAACCATTAAAACCTATTCAACCAGCAACCTTCAATATGACCAGTAAAAATGTAACATCTGTGGTCCAGATATGATTGCCTTTCTCTGGCCAGCATATAAAGACATGTTGAAAATATTCAACATCGTAATCAGAGCTGCATTAGTAACATTTACATTTGACTCATTTAACCAAGGTCACTTACAAGATGAGGATTAACAATCAAGCAATCATCTGAGAATCAAACCCAGGACTCTCTACTTCCAAGGCAGGCATGCCAACCGCTACACTCTAGAACCTTAAATGATCATACCACATCTATCCTTGCCAAGTCATTAGCTTCCTACCAGATAACGCTCCCCCCAGTAGTCTACCCCTGCAGAGGCTGTGATAAGGACGGCATATCTGGGCCTTCCACTGCTGAACAATGCAGCATTGATTAGCTTCCACAGTCCTGACCCTCCTACACCTCATAGCTGCCGTCCACTCAACCAAGACCTGATACTGGGTCAAGCTCTTGACACCAGCCAGAACTCCACATATTTCCTTCATTCTTTCTCAGGTCAACACACACAGACAGTCTGTTTACCAGTACGTCCACTCGTCCACAGATGATGTCAGATTATTGGACTGTCTCCTTTCTAACAGAGGAAACGTTCACAGTCACAGTGATTATATTTGGCCCTAAACATAAGAGCGACTTATTTAACATATATATCATTTTTGACTATGAACTGTTTTTAAAAAAATGACCGTATTTTCCCTACGGTAAGTCACTCTTTTTTTCATGTTTGTGAATTATACTCAGGTGTGACTTATATATTAAAATATACAATTTCACATGTTCGTTTTGGCACTGGTGCAACTTATACTCCGGAAAATACGGTATCTTTTGAGACTGAGATCAGTTTTGTCTCTGCCTACATGAACATTACGTCTAGATTCTTGTGCAGAGACGATGTCGTCATTTATAAGAAAGTGCAATCATTTATTTTGGATTGTAACACATGGGAAAATGAAGCTGCCATTTTGGCAGTTACAGATTGTTCCAGCTGTTGTGTCGCACATGCTTTGCTGATGAGGTGTGACGTCGGTGAGAGAGTGTGTGTCTGCCCGTCTCACCGCAAAGGCCCTGTTGTCCTCGTTGTACTGGACTACATCCATGAAGTTGCCAGCCAGTGTTTCCAGGAAGTAGGCAGAGTCCATCTCTGTCTGGATCTGCAGTTTGGAACACAGGCTGTAGAGAAGAGAACAAGAAGGAAAAATAAAAGATAGTGAAGCAGGAGGTGTGTTTTTTTTACAGTTGACCTTTTCCTTAAAAAAAAGCCTAAAATGTAATATTTTTAGATGTGAACAGAATCATTCAGCTCATCCCGGGGCAGTGATGAGGGCCATCGGTCAAGTCGACAGTAATGAGGTGCAGAGGTAAAAATAATTGAGTGTGTGTAGACATGTGGGTGTGTGGAGACTTTAACACACGACACATGGATGTAAGTGGAAAAAGCCAAGATGGTGAAAGGGCAGAAGTGAATGAAGGCGAAGCAGTGTTCCTGGAATGGGTTTCAGTGTTCAATACATCCACCTTCAGCATGTGTCATGTAACAAGTCTCAAGAACCAACATGGAAAAAAACTAGGAAGAAAACATAAAAAGTAAGGAGGTTGACAGGCGAACAAGCTAAAAAATAAATACATTTTTCCCATGACGACCTCATGACTGTGAAAAAAGGTTTCCATGAATCTGAGGTTTTGTAACTTCTCAAACCTCCAGACCACCTTTGTGACCTGGGTGTATTTTTTTAATATAATGTGGTCAGGCCGACACAGACACAAAGGCAGGGCGAGCGTGGGACTCTGTGACGCCATCAGTTCCAGGACACTAACCACATGGGTTTTAAAAAGGGAAATTTGAACATGCTTAGTCATCCTGTGGACCGGCATGAACAAAATAACCTGATGTAGCAACGGAACGAGGCGACGTTAAATCATGGAAAGTGGAGTCACTGAGACACACACATTTAGAACGAGGGCTAAAAATGTTAAAACAATTTCACAGACATGTGATCCAAGGGTATGTACAAAAAATATATATGAAAACATATGTAGCTAAGGTTAAAAAATACATATTCTTTAAAGAAGTCAGTGTATTAGTTTGTAATTAAAGAAAGTATTATTAATATTATTACAGATTAATGTACATGATATATGTACAGTATATACATATATGTGTCACACATATATGCATACATACAAACATATATACATAAGTTTATATATATATACATATATAAACATATACATATATACACATACATATATATATATATATATGTATATATATTTTTTTTTTTTTTTTTTTGTGGCCCAATGACTGGACTGGATTATTAAATAGAAGATGAACTCATGTGGCCCAGTTCACGTTTGGTAAGGGTTGTAGTGAGAAGTGAAAGGCACTGTACTTGAAGTCTTTGGTGATATTCCCATAGGTCTCAGGATCCTTCAGACGTTTTACAAGTGAATCGGAAGCTTGTTCCACCAGCAGGGGGCACTCCGTGTTCTCTGAGGCCAGCGAATGTCGCACCACCTCTAAATACTCTGGCAAAACAAGACAAACAGAGGGGAAATTGAGGGCGAATTGAAGCAACAAAACGATCAGTTCCTCTTCAAACAACGTTCAAATTAAGTGAATCTACTTCAACTGCGTAATTTTGATACATTTTCGTTAAGATCGAAAGTGAAAAGATGGGTGGTGTTCCCTGTTTATAGCTCCTCCATCTGTCTGATGTGGGTCTGAACCATTCGTGTGTTTAGTCTGGGTTAGTTTCACCAGTCAGGGGCGTGATAGTGTCTTGAAGATAGCAGGGCTGTGTGGGCGGTGGAGCACAGCTTGGTGTTCAAAGGTCCTCTGTCCTTGACTCCAGGCTGGGATGGGGCTCAGCCAAACACAGCACCCAAACAAATACATGGATTCTTTTTCTACTTTGATCTGTCTGGGATGTGTTGACATTCTATGTTGTTTTGGTGTGTCATGCACCAGGCAATTACTTCACTTGAGCAACGGGAAGTTTTTCAAGTCAGGCCGTTTTACTTCATTTCCTGAAGTCAAATTTCACTTAAATTGCGTGGAAATGCTTTAGTTCAGATTTTTCAGCCGTGTATGTATGGACACTTCAGTGTCATGTTTTCACACCTGGGAAGTTTACAGTGGCGTGAACAGGTGCACTGGTGGCCACGGAGGCATGGACCAGGTGTGGGTACTTCAGCCTGAACCATGCAGCAAGAGAACCGGGGTACGACCCACCAAACGCCACCCATTTGCTCTCACTCAGCCCTCGTTGGTCGGCTGTGATGACGCGAAAGTGAGCCAAGTCAGCTAAGGCCTGGCGACTGCTGAGAAAACGTAGGCTGTCTGTGCTGAGGTCGCTGCGTGAGGATGGAAGAGAGAAGTTTGAGTGAAAATATGTGCAGCAGTGACATCTGGTGGTAAAAATACTTAATTGACTTCTGCTTCACAGTTTGGTTGGCTGAATAACTTTTGGACTATTTCACTATATTTAATAATAATAATAATAATAATAATAATAATAATAATAATAATAATAAATATTATTATTACTATAAAACTACAAATAAAAACTCAGTCAATAGAAACATAAAATCAAGATCAAGATTTAAAAAACATCAGCTATAAGTATGCTTTTATTTAATTTATCTAACAGAACTTGACTTTGTTTTAATCATTTTAATACAATCAGAATGTACTTGTTTTCTTTTAATCCTACAATTGAGTTACATTTTTCTGCACTTTATCCTTGTAAAATTTGTTCTTAAAAATATTCCCTTTATTTCAGCTTTTAGTAGAATGAAGAATTGAAATGTAACCAACAGGAAGCTGTGGTCACTGTGTCTGCTGTTATCCTTAGTCAGCACTTTTTTGCTCTTTAAAAGTCACATCCAATATAACGCTATCTTGACTACTTGCTACTGCTGTTAAACTGGATAACTGCTGATAGAGGTGAAGCTTTGCCAGAATCACAGCCTCAATATTGCTGATTTAGAACCCTAACAAGCTAAAGATTTATGTGAAAGGTTATCAGTTTCATGCACAGCCAGCAGTAACTAGTATCACATGTCAAACAGTTATCATTTAGACTCATATTTTTCAGGATTTTCAGGATTTGTCTAACTGTATTTTCAGTCTTCTTTTTTTTTTCAGAGAAACTAAAACAACAACACCATGTTGGTGCATGAGACTTTGAAACCCTCCAGTAAGTTCAAACAGCATTAAGAAAATGAAACGTACTCAGTCGGGTGACTCTTTCCATAAAAGCGATGCTCCAGCATAAAACAAAGAGCTCCCATTTTCTCTGCGTAAGTGAGCCACGTTCCAGTTTGCATCCACGCCAGGTTGGCCGGTCCCTCTCCACCAATCATCAGAAACACCGGTCCCCCTGGTTTATAGAAGTTTCCATTGACAAAGTACCTCTGGTGCAATAAAAAGGAAATCAGAGAAGAGGAAAGACAAAAAATAAGATGTAAGACGCAGGGAGTTGGTTTTTTTCTAGTTACAAAATATGCAACACCTAAAATGTTAAAAAAATGTCTTCAGAAACCTAAATACTAAAACATGTAAACTACTGCTTAATTCATCTGTGTTGTAAAATGGCGTCCATAAATTAAGCTCATGTCTTATAATGTCATATAAAAGTCCTTATATGTAGGACGAAGCAACATTTAATTTGAGTTGATATCGTACCTCTACAGACATACTTACGGTAGTATCATAAACCCCCGGACAGTAACAGAAACTAGACTTCTATAGAGAAATATAATAGATAATAATAATAATATATATATATATATATATATATTACGTTTTTATTTCATTTCCAACACCAAATATCCCAATAACATGTACAGTGACTGTACCTGCTTCCACTCTCTGCTGTCTGCACCGTTAAAGTGATCCAGTTTCTGAACGAACCACTGTTCGTCAAACACAGTTCTGAGCATCTTTGCGTTTTCATCCTGTCCACGATAAAACTTCCGAAAGCCTTTAAAACGTTGTCCTTCAGCAACAGCAGCGACGGACAACAACAGCATACAAACAAACATGTTTATTCCACTCATAGTTGTTCGACTTGTAACCAAATCTATTTAAAAAGAAAGAGGAAACTGTCAAAACCACGTGACACAGCCTGATGTGGTCATGTGACAGGGTTTGCGTTACTTCACGGACTCGCAGACTGTGGGAAATATGAGTTCCCGACGTATAATAACACTACATTATTATCATTATCATTATTATTATTATTATTGTGACTCTTTTTTGAGTGAAATGTCAGAGTGAGAAACCCACACAGACAATAGCTGTAAAATAAAAAACAAAATATGAACATGGTTCTCTTTTCTTTTCACTTCGACGCTGAACAGTTTGTCAACCTTAAAAAACGAAATTTTAACCAGAAATATACTGCAACAGCGCCCTCCTCGGGCAAAATTGAATAACGGGTTCCCATCCCCGTTATTCAGCAGAATTTCTACTGTCTGCTGAGTCGACTCTCTGACGTCGTGGTTTCTTCACTAAAACTAAAGACCGAACAAGTCTTTAATGGCTGCGGACTACATGGATGAGTGGTTTAGTTCACGATGGTAGAATCATGGTTTGTACGGATGTCACGATTGTAGTTTTCCTTGGTATGATTGAGAGAGATTTCATCACGATATATCGATTATCACGATTAATATACCTTAATTGATTTCACAACACTATGCACAAATGTACACGAGCAGTCCATAGAAATAAAAATAGTGATTAATTAACTGTCTTGTAGCACTGAAAGCGGAACCTCTGGTGTATCCGTGCGCAATTAATTACAATTGATGCTAACATTTAATTTCCTACCAATGCAATGTTATGTTAGGAAAACGTTGACGCAATTTCATCCAGTTACTGTGTATTTAGTTTTGCTCTCGCGAACCAAGTCTGGTGGGGGTCCCGCAGGTGATGACAAATATTGAAGGTATTTCCTGCTTTCACTGCAGTTTCTAAGGCATGTTTTAGGTGCTGTCAACCAGAATACCGCAGTTATTTATTCTGGAGGCAAAATAATCCTTTATTCAGGGGGCGTAACTACCATTTTACCCCACTTGGGCTTACACTTAACTATAGTTCCGATATATTTGCTGACGGTATTCATGAAAAGTTACAATTGACCACAGTGTTTAATATCGCAATTGTGACATGGAGTAATCGTGACATCTCTACTGGTTTCAGTTATAGATGGTGGACATGATGTGTTATGGATTTTCCAAACAGATGCCTTTTTATCCTCAGAAATCATGGACGTTTGCACAGAAGCACGAACACATACAGATCACATACATCAATAAACACTGTGTTCATGTTACCGTTGTCACTACAATAGCAAAAACATGGGAGTATATCATTAGTTTTTTGTCACTTTATTTGCAATGATCTTTATCTCTTCCAGTTGAGGATGTGAAAAGAGGCATTTATTTTCTTTAATTAAATATCTTTTTAATAAAGAAAACAAAACAAATATGTACATTTTTTCAATTAATGTGTAATCAATGACTTAGGGAAGATAATTACAAGCACCTTCTGCCAGCTGAGGAGAGAAAGGGATAGAGAAACATAAATACAAGGGTAAACTGCCTCTTTTCTTTTCAGGGGTAGTTTGGGGGGTACTTGAGGCTTTTTGTCTCGGGGGATTTGGGGGGTACTTGAGGCTTTTTGTCTTGGGGGAGAAGAAAAAAAAAAACAAAACAAAAAACATTCCACCATATATTTACAGAACTCTCCTGAAATGCATTTTACACTCCTGGAAGCAGAAAAGGCCTTAGGATTTGTACTGTTAAACTATTCTTGTTTTTAAAGTCACTTGTCAGGTTGTTTTTTTTTTTTTGTCAATATACTTTTTCAAGTTTTAATAATGATATTCTGTCTTGTTAAAATCCATCAACAGCCTTGGTAGGAGAGAGCGCAGCAATCACTGCTGCTCCTCCTTTTTCTCAGTCCACAGTTCATTTTTTTCTTGAAGCG